CTACTCTAATAGACAACACCATATTCTAATAGATATGAAGCAAGGTGTTTTTCAAAATATTCCCTGGCATTGTTTGATCTTAACACATTTGTTCGTGTTCCAAACTGTATTAGTACCATCTGATGAAATTGTTTTACCAATGATGGTACCTTATCTTGGGATCTCATCAAATAAATCAAAAAATATTGAACGAAATCATCCACAAATAAGAGAAAATATCGATAACCACCCATAGAAGGAACATGATAAGGTCCCCACGCATCAAAATGAATAACATAAAAAAGAGATGGACATCTTTAAAAGAATGTCTACAATGCTTTCCAAGTTGGCAACCTTCACGCTCCAAACTTGACAAACTAACAGACTCAAATAACTTTGCAAACAAAAGACTCAAAGAAGAAAAAAAGCAAATGACCTAAACGATTATGCCAAAGCATAATCTAACTCACTATCCCTACTGACATGATGACTCTGATGTAGTATTTTCGAACCGCCGTTGACCTAAATGGTCGGACTGTTTGGCCTAGGAACTGTCTAGGCAATCGGTTCCATTTTTGCATAAACCCGGAATCTGGTCAACAATCGTTGAAAAAGTCAACAAAGCGGTTGAACCATTGAACCGTCGACTTGTTCAACGGTTTTGATCGTTTTTTTTTATTTTTTAATTATTTTTTTTTAATTTTCTGTCAGAATGAGACGTCCGTTCGAATTGGACGGTTAGACCGTTGACCCGAAAGCCGGTGACAAAAACGGTTTCATTTCTGGGTCATTTTTTAAAACATTGCTTTGATGAGAAAAAAGTACATCCATGAGGTAAATTCCATTCACTTCATGACCACTCCCAATCGTCCTCTTTGAATCCAGATCCTGCAAGATACAATGATTATGAGAAAAAAATACTAAACAGTTCAGGTTCTTAATCAAACTACTAACAGATAACAAATTAGTACTCAATCTGTGAACATGAAGGACAGAGGGAAGGGAAAAGGAATCACTAATCTTGACAGACCCATTCCCAACAATGGGAACATGAGATCCAGCAGTTGTGGAGACCCTGTCTTTGCTATAACAAAGCTGGTAAGAAGAAAAAATAGTGGAACTATGGGTCATGTGCTTTGAGGCTCCAGAATCTATAATCTAAAGAGGTCCCTCCTTACCTAAAGTAGAAACATAATTTGCAGTGGCATGTGAACTACCTGTGTGAGCAAAGGAAGTAGAGTGTGCTCCACCAAAATCACCTGTGGCTGTTCACCTGTTGCTAAACTAGATGTAGCTATATCCCGTTGGTTCAAAAACTACCTATACCTCTCAAGTTCGACCCTTACTGCAACAGCTGCAATAGACACCAGAGTAGTTGTAGTAGGAGGGGCCGAAATGTCACCAGTGACTGCCATGTGAGCTTTTCCCTTCTTATTTTTTATTCTATTCGGCACAAGATGGGGATAAAGCTTCCAACAAGTATCACTTGTGTGTTTAGGCTTCTTACAGTAGTCACAAATCAAATCCTTTTTGTCTTCCTTCTTGATTTCACTGCTACCCCGGTCTCCACCTTGTTTAGGTCTCATAGTGCTAACCATAGCTGATTGATCAAACCCAAAATTTTTCATCATCACATTTCTTCTGCTCTTTCCTTAACACAAAGGCATATGCCTGGGAGAGAGTAATATTGTCCTTGGAAAGAATGTATTGTCTTGCAATATCATATTCGGGGTTAAGTCCAGTAAGAAATTCAAAACACCCTATGCTTCTCTAGGAGCTTCTGGTAGGCAGTTGCATCCTTAGTAGTTTCCTAAACAACTGTCTCCAAATGGTCAATCTTCTGCGATAGGGTTTTAAGGGATGAAAAGTAAACAGCAATAGGTCTATCTCCCTATCTTGTAGCAATAATTTGATTTCTCAATTGATAAGTCCTAGCAACATTCTCTCTCTGTGAATAGGTTTCTGCAACCCCATCCCATATATTCCTTACTTGTATTTGCCCACAAAAAGTTTTTACTTATATGGGGTAGCATGGAATTACCCAGCCAAGTCATCACCATATAATTCTCTTGTACCCACCGGGAGTTATTAGTTTCGGATTTCACTTCTTCACCAGTTATATACCCTAACTTTGCACGAGCACCAATGGCCATTTTTGTAGATTGTAACCATTCTAAGTAATTCGAACCATCCAACTTAACTGTAGTAATGGTCCCAGCCCTAAAAAGGTCTCCAACACCTCCTCCCACTAGTCTCATTTCACTTCTGGGCTTGTTTTGAACTCCGTTACCCTCCATACTTCTCAAAAAGGGGATAGAAGATTACTGTAATTTGCAAGAATATCAGATAAATTACTTTTGGTACCAACGACACCTTTCTGGTGCCTAGATGGTCCTCCCACAAAAGATTCATTTTTTGCGGGATGGGAGAAGAGAGAGAAGAGGCAGCCGCTCTCTCCATAAACATCCAAATCAGGTAGGACTTGAACCGCCCCTTACAGAAAACTCCAAGGAACCCTAAAAAATTAGGATGCCATTTCCTAGGTCAAAACTGAAGAGTCCAACAAAAACAGGACTCTCTCCCTTTCTCTAGTTTTTCTTGATTTTGATGGGAAACCCTACACTACTACAAGGCAAAACAGATCCACCAAAAAATCCAAAAACTGGACTTACCTGAGATCTTTGATCAGCCTCTTAAATCACCATGTAGTCGGCCGATCTAGGGCTGCATGAGAAAACAGCTCAAGGAACCTTCGACATGCTCTGATACCAAGTAGAAATCACCGTTTGGAAATCTAGATGAATTTCCTTGTGAAGAGAAAGAAGAAGATGAAGAGTTTCAGGAATAGGGAAGAAAAGAGAAAAAAGAAAGAATAGGATGTCAATCAGAATTGAATTAGATCTGGCCGCCAACCCCTCGTTATATTTTATACTTAACTTAAAAGAATAAGAGATTACAAGAATGCCCTTAGTAGAGCAACTACTAAAATAGCTGAACAGTTACAACTTAAAAATATAAGCTAATGGGCCTAAAGTCCAACAACTTCCTAACTAAACAACTTAAATAAGAGCTAAATAACTGGGCCCAATAACTAGAAATCGGCCCAACTCAACACATACCATGTGCAAATAAATTTTGATGAAATATTAACAGACCTTAACAACAAGGCTAGAGTTAGTCAATTGTCAGAAGTAGTAGGGATAGCATTAGTCAATTTTTTAAGAAATTTACCCTTATTTAATATACTAGATTTTGAATTCCAGGATGCTCTTCATGCTATGCGATTTATTTATTTACTTTGTAGTTATTTAAGAGATTGGGTCATTTAGAAATTGTACAATACTTACGCAATTCTGTTCATAAGTTAAGAATTGATTAATGAAACACTCTAGTAACTATTGATGAAAACAGAATGATTCCTCTCAGATTTAGGGTGTCCTAGATGAGGTCAAGGTAATTTATACAATCACCCGAACAAACATTTTGGGAACTCAAAATCCCTATTAGAAACACATTGATCTCGTAGCAGAAAATACACGCATATACATTGATCTGTCTTGAGATGCATGCCTGTTCTTTTATGTGGCTCTCAAGGAGCTGCCTTATGACGTTTTTTTACGACTCTTTTTGCTGGGTGTTATTGATATTTGTTTAATCTCCTCACTAATGGCCTATTCTTCCAGCATGTCACGATATCTTATATTTTCTATCTGCAGTTGCATATTCCTCCTCTTTAACCTTTGACCTTTTTGGTAAGTGGTTGTTTATCAATTTGTTTACAGCGTTGTCACCCAAATTTCTTTACATTTAGGGGGCGTTCTTTTTAAGGATTTTGAGAGGGAGGAAAGTTGGTCAATGGAATTTTTGTTCTTAATGATCAAGAATCTTATGTTCATTTTTCAGATTTATGTAAAGATTATGGAATGTTTATTTTCTTGAGTATCACTTACCCGTGTAAGTGATGCTCATTTCCTAGGTGGATAAATAATTTTTTCACTTAGAGTGAAAATTGCCAATACTTGAATGGGACAAAAATACCCCTTTTAATAATAAATTTTTATAACTAAAATAGTCATTGTCTTATGTGATAAATAGAAAAACATGGGCCCAGAAAAAATTTACCCATATAACTACATCTACCCAAATAAGTAAGTTACCAAAAAGCGAACGGGACTAGGTGGATCTTGACAATTTGGTGAAAGAAATTCGAAAGGTGCAGAACTTGAGTTTTATGGATTGCATCTAGAAGGTGAATGCTTTACATTCCTCCAAAACGGCGGCACTATGTGATATCTCTGACATCAAGTTTCGCTGTTGCCTTTCAGGAGCGATGGCAACAAATCACCCCTAAGGCTTACATTGTTTCATTTTTGTTTGTACTTTGTTCTAGCGACATAGAAATTCTGTCAGATGTTACCTCACATGAACCCATAGCCCTCTTTTTGTTGGAGATCCAGTGCTATTGATGCTTGTTTGTCTAGTATGTATCTGTTAATTGAACTTAATTTGCTTGGATCACAAGGATCAACTGTTGTTTCTTCTCTTTCGATTCATTCATGGCTTTCCTATATGATTAAACATTGTGAGTTCCAGTGAGTATGGTTTAAAATATGGTCCGAAACGTCTGTTTCCAAGTGCTTTAGAACTTCAACTTTTTTCAATAAAAAATTCTGTTTTTAATTTCCAAAAAACCAAAATTTGAAAAAAAAAATGAGTTTCAGGCATTTCTATGTAGCGATGCGATACTGCCGATATGCATATCGTATCAATACTTTGAACTTGCCAGTGAGTACATGGATGCAAAAGGATCGTAATCAGATAAACCTAGAGGCGGCTAGATCCAAATTTTGATTTTGTTAAAATCGAATTTAAATCAGATCTTATCTATCAGAATTAGATTAGACTCAGATGAGATTCAGATAATGGTTGTGAACTAAAAATTATCATAATACATTATTGATAGAAGTAAATTAAAAATGATTTTCATATTGTACATCAAGGACTATTGCTCTAGAAAGGGATGACAGTAGAAATCATACCATGATATTCACATATATATTATCGATCAGTAAACATTTTACATGTGAACTAAAGCCATAATTCAATAGGTTGTTTGTCATAACCACGAGGTTGACACAATCCAAAGTTACCCATCAAAACATTGATTGAGAATTGAGATCAGAGTTACATATCAAACAAGCCTGCAAGCTTACTCTTTGCCTTAAATGAGCTTTTCCCCTTGTATTTTCACTGTAATACATAACAAATACAAGCTTACAGAGCACCCAATATTTCCTTCCCTGTCAGGGTGCACGAGGAATTGAGGATTAGCTTCATTTACATGTTTGATGAAATGAATTAGTCAATTTCCCAAGAAGATAAATGCAAGCCCATCAACTTTGGTGCTTTTGTTACAAGGGAGACTCTTTCCATGCCAACCTGTTTAGCCCATCCATAATAGCTCTGCGAAATTCATCATTGTGGAGGATGAAGGATGACACATGACCTCCTGTCACCCATCTCACTTCTGAACCCGGCCAAGCTCTTTGAAGCTCCAGAACTGAGTGCTTTGGTATGTATCCATCATCCTGGAAAAAAATGGTTATGAAAGATGCCAGAATCAGAATTTATGGTAAGAAAATAAATGCAAATAGAGGACCATTTAACCTATGGTTGCAAACATATAAGCTTGAATCAAAACGTAAAAGCTTGCATATTATTAGATTGGATTGGATTGGACTAGACCATATTTGATTCAATTGTAAACTGATCAAATTAGGATCACCTTTATAAAATTGGATTGGAATTTGAATTCAGACAAGTGGATACCATTTAAAGCTAGTCCTAATCAATTAAAAAAGCTCAAAGAAAAGACAAAATTGTGTAGAAACAGATCATAGTGTAAGGTGAAAAGTAGAGAAAGGAAGGAATTGCGCAAGATGATCCCTTACTAAAAAGGACAACACTTCAATTGCATGCATTGTATTTCCATCTATAATTAAGATGTGGGACTTACAGTAGCTGCAACAAAGATAACAGCTTGAGGATTCTTGGGGATTGGAAAACGTGTAACATCTGTGAGTGACAGCACAGATCTCATCCTTTCTCTCACTTCCTCGAGTGTCAGTGCAGCCTTCTGTGCTGCTCCATCTTCTCTCAGTGCCTCCCATGCAGTAGCATGCTTTAGTATTCCTTCACAGAATGCCACAACAGCAGAGTGGGGAGAGAGAAATGGGAGTGTAGCAACAGGAGTTGGATGCAGTGATCCAACCATTGCAGCATGTACACCACCTAAAACAATTCAAGAAAAAAGCATAGTTGACCAAATCTTTCAATAACTGATAACAGTTTAAATTAAATTTCCTAGAAACCTTGAGAAATCCTACTTATGATGCAAGTTGAGGAACTTGAATTTGCACAGAAGACTCACCCATGCTAAGTCCACATACACCTGTCTTGCCAAAGCCAGCCTCATACTCCAACCAGTATAACAGACTCCGAGCTTCCTCAATGGTGACTCTCCCCAGCAAAAGCAAGTCACTCACGCAAAGAAGCTTCGCACCACGCTGCAACATAGGACGCCTCTGTCCATAGAAAGGGCTGCAGCATCAGATTCACCTTGATTCAGAACCTATGAACTTGAATCAGCATAACCCTTTCTACTTTTCAGAGCATCTAGCTTATGCACGAACAGCTCTCACCTCTCAAGCACCATGGTTGCTATATTTTCCTTCAACAATGGAGTACCTAGACGCAGCCTCCGCTCAAATGTATGGTCTCCAGTTCCTATAACCAGGAATTCAAACTCATGTGGTCTAACTTTCCCAACTTAAAGCGCCAGATGATTTACACACAAAATCTATGAAATGAATTATAAAAGTAAGATAAGAAAACAGATAGAGATATTGAAGACCCGCATTGCAAGACATTCGGAGAAGTCTATTTCTCAGATGCAAAAGGAAGAGCAATTGGCAATTCCAACTGAATCCAATGTCAGCTTACAATTCAATTCTTCTCAGAAGAAAGGATCAAACTGAAAAAGATGGAAGCTGTTACCTGCAAGATGAACCACACAGGCCATCCTCTGCGGTGGGACAGACTTTGGTGTAAGAAAAGCGACCCTTGCATTGTGACTCTCCGGGGGCAATGCATCAATCAGCTGCTCGTCGCACGGCGTCCTGAAAACACCTTCCCTCAGGCAAGCGGTCTTGGTCTCCCAGACGGTTTTCCATATGGGCTGAACCAAATTTGGAGTCCAGTTCTGGCCAGCGACTTCTGGATCTGGGAAGAGCTGCTTGATCATGCTCTCAAGCAAATCGAGCTTGTTACCTCCCCATCCTCTGGAGAAGAATGGTGGGCTGATTTTTGTTCGGTGGACGAATGCACCATAGATGTGATCCAATACATAATGAAGAATCCCAAGGTTTACTGTAACCATATCCGCAGTGAATGCCCACAAATCAATCACCGAAAATACTCGAAGAATAGAACCCAGAAGCTAGAACAAAAGAAAAAAAAAAAAATCTTTGTAAGAGAAATAAATAAACGAGATCTCCTTCAAACAGCCGAACTACCACAAAAGGGGAAAAAAATGAATCTTTTAGTTCAATGCACAGCGGAAAGTGGAAACCTCCCAAATTGACAGAAAGAACAGATAGGAACAGAAGAAATAACTGATTGATTTACTGAAAAAAAGCTGAATTTCTATACTAACCTTGGATTTGAAATATGGGAAATAAGAAAAGAAAAAAACCCACAAATCAGAAGCAACTCGAATCACATGAACGAAAATACATCAATTCGAAAATCTAGGCCAAAAAAAATCTCAAATCCAGATGGATTAGTAAACAAATCAACCGCTAGAGACGGATTAGTAAATAAATCAACCGCTAGAGACGATCAAGAGATGAAAAGAAAACTACGGAAAAGAACGGACCCAAATCAAAGAGGGCAAGACGGGCAGCAAGAAGGCTTGAGAGAGAGAGAGATAGAGGGAGGATGGACCGAGGAAAATGGAGAAAGGATTTAAAAATCAGGAAATACCCACCAATCTAATCCGTGGGTGACTACGCCGCGTCGATTTGGATCCCACAGAATATTGTCAGAATTAGGTAATCCATCCATCACCCATTGGGTCCGGGGGTCCGGATCCAGATGGCAACTTTCCATAATTATTTAAAATTTTAGGGTAAAATACAAAAACCTCTCCTAAAACTTCCGACAATCATATAAATCTCTCCCCAACTTTAAAAAAATTCAACATAAACCTCCTCTGTCACTGTCCCATACGAAAAACATTTGATCGATGCACTATTTTTTAAAATACCCATTTTACCCTTTTTGTCGATGGCAAAATCATGGCCTTCTATGCTTCTTTTGGTGTAAAATAAATAATCACTGGTGAATATCAAGTGAAGAACCATTGGAACACACATTTGACCAAGAAGCTCAGGATAAAAAAGTAAAAGGATCATCACTTACAAGCTCTAAAAAATGCAATCAAGTAGAGGAAGTTCTCAAGCTCCCCACTAATTTGAATTCTGATCTTCAGCTACGTGTGACAACAACTGTATTAAGCGTGTCCAATCCAAAGCGAACTATGCTTTTAAAACATTATTGAAGCGTTGAACAAACAAGACCGGACAGTTGGTGAATGTTTTGAGAGTTCTTTTCGTTCTTTCATAGATGATTTAAATTCAAAATGCCCTTAGCTTGACAAAGCTTCTTAATGGATATCCCATTGATGGAGCCTGACATACCTTATGCTCTCTCTTTCTCTGGCACACAACGAGAAGAAGAAGAAAAGATAAATACACCTTTACTGTCAGTTTTAGCAGCCTCCAAAAGTAATACATGGGTATTATATTATTAACTTTCTATGCATCTATAAATAAGAGATACACCCAAGCACTTAATGTTTTGAATTCAAGTGAATGCAAATGAAATTGGAGTGGTTATTACATATAAAGCTATTAAACAGCCAAGGAGAAGAGTGCACATTTCACTCCTCTTTCTGCACGAAATGGAGAACACATCGATTCTAAAGGAGTCGTGGTTCAAACTGGTTGATTTAGACAAAATAGGAAGCATCATTGACCCTCAGCTCAAGAGATGTCTAGTAGTAGGAAACCTAAAATTTCCTTTCTCTGTTGTCCAGCAAGCAAATGATTAGAATGTATGCTTTTGATCAAAATGGAACAATGAGCTTTCAAGAATTTGTTGCTCTTTCTTGAGGTTCAGCAAGCTTTAATTTTTAGACCTAGAAAGGGGTCGTGGATTTCTTGTTCCTAATGATGTTTACGATGCTTTGATGAAGGTTGGGTTTCCCTTGACTCTCCTACTTTTTATACATTCTGTGAGAATTCCAATCATAAGATGAATGGAAGATTCTGAGTAGATGATTTTGTACCGCTGGGAATCTATTTAATTCATTTTGATAGGGATTGAAAGTGAACACGAGATCTGAGATCCGTTGTCCATATTTCTTTGTATAAATGTGTATTTATTGTTGGATTTCTCAGGCAAAAATGAATTGTTCAAATTAAAGTTCATTTCATTTACTTTTATATAAAGGGTAAAATGGATATTTTAAAAAATAATACATCATTCTAATGTTTTTCATCTGGGACAGCGAGGGAAGGAAGGTCTATGTTGAGTTTTTAAAAAATTTAGAGGAGATTTTTATTACAATTAAATTTGAAAAGGGGTTTTATGATTGTCAGAAACTTAAAAAGAGGATTTTGTATTTTATCCAAAATTTTAAATTATTTGTAAGGGAAAAGATTAAGTGTTCCTGATCTACCGAAGCGAAAAATGGACCATAAACGTAGATATCATATCTCTTTAGTATAAGATGATGATCCAACTGTCAGAGTAGAGGATCAGACCACTATACAGATATATCTTCTGAGGATAAGATGAGTTGTCCCTTTCAGATTGATACCATCAGATAAGGACCTGCTGGCCTCGCAAAAGATTTAGCTGCCACGTTGACAGCTTGTGTTGCCAATTGGGCTCTCCCTTGTAGCTTTGTTGACTAACGTGTCCCGTGGAGAGAGCCGTGGATAACACAGGCTGTCTAACGGGGGGCCCGCAATTGAGCGGGTTGGATTATTTCTTTCTTTTGATAGGTGGGTGGACAGGGATGGATTTAGGCCGCTTGGATGCGCCCACCAAAATATGGTACCCACGGGAATACCCTTTCAGCTCTCTGTTAGAGTGTTAGTCGGTCGGTCTGACTAGCACGATCGAGTCAGTCCTGAAAGGCTGAACCGTCTGATCTCATTTGAGATTTTCCTTCTTGTTTAAGGAATAGATCTGGACATCAGACTATAGGTGTAGAAGTCTACACAAATGGGAATTTCAATGATCGATTCAGTACGGGTTGGTTTAATGCTGAGCCGGATCTGACTTTGACCATATCACACCCGGTCCTAGGGCCGCAAATAATAATCTTTTCCTCCACGGTTTTCAAAACCAGATCGGAYCGGACGGTTGGACAGAAAAAACGGAATCGGTTCCCAAAACTGCTTTTTTTCTCAAAACCATTGATTTTGGTTAGCAAATCGCTGAACCGACCGGTTAATCGTTCGAACGGTTTTGACCGTTTTTCAAATTTTTTAATTTATTTTGTCAAAAAGGGTCGATCGTTCAACCTCTGACCATTCAACCCGATAACCGGACCCCTAACCGGTTCAGTCACCAGGTCGGTTTTAAAAACCATGCTTTCCTCAATTTTTTTAAAACTCATCATGACTTTTTAGCATTTCCTTTGAATTCAACCTAAGTTGTCAAAGCGTCCATGTTTTTATTTGGCACAATACCAAATTTTCAGCTTTCTTGAAACAAGCGGAGTGGGCCCTGATTTGTAAGGGCACGTTCATAAACTATCAGGCTCGAGCTTGATTCGAATTAAGAGACTTGAGCTCGAGTCAAAAGCTCAAAAGTTCGACCTCGACTACCTTTGATTGCAGGTCTCTTAAGCAGTCGAGGTCTCCCTCAGCTGCTAAAGTGTCAAGCTGAGGTTTCCTTAGCAGGCAAGGAGTCGAGATAAGGTCTCCCTTAGTTGATAAGGTGCCGAGCTGAGGTCTCCCTCAATTGTCGAGGTGCTGAGCCAAGATCTCCCTTAGTGATCGAGATGCCAAGCCGAGGTCTCCTTTAGTGGTCGAGGTGTCGTCTAGCTTGAGCTCAATTCGAACTAGAGACTTGAGCTTGAGCTCAGAGGTTTGAGCTCAACTCGGCTCAAACTTGATTACCTTTGATTGCAGGTCCCCTAGCAGCCGAGATGTTGAGCTGAGGTCTCCCTCAATTGGAGAGAGTGGCATTCTTGTAATTTATAAGGAGAGAAAGATGGCAGGAGAGAGAGAGAGTTGGTTGGAGAGAAAGTGGAATTCATGTAATTTGAAACAAAAAAAACAAGAGAGAGAGAGAGAGTTGGTAGAGGTATTCTTGTAATTTCTATGAAAAAAAAGCAAAAAATACTGTTAGATTCCATTTCCCTCATCCTCGGGCCTTCTTACGTACACATTTCAGCTTAATATATTTACTAGCGGAGGGGACCCTGCATTGCAGGGGCTCGCTCATAAACTATCAAGCTCGAGCTCAATTCGAATTAGAGACTTGAGCTCGAGTTTGAGCTTAGATCGAATCAAAAGCTCAGAAGTTCAAGCTCAGCTACCTTTGATTGTAGGTTTCTCAAGCAACCGAGGTGCCAAGTCGAGGTCTCCCTCAATTGCCAATGTGCTAAATCGAGGTATCCCTCAGCTACTGAAGTGTCGAGCTGAGAGAGAGAGAGAGAGAGAGATGGCATTCTTGTAATTTGTAAGAAAAAGAGAGAGAGTGGCATTTTTATAATTTGAAAGAAAAAAAAGCAAAAGAAAAAGAGGGAGAATTGTTAGGAGAGAGTGGCATTATTGTAATTTAAAAGAAAAATATGTTTAAAAAGAGAGAAAGTTGGTCAATTAAGGGCATTTTAATCATAAAAATATATTTAAAAAGGTTGACTCCCATTTAGGGACAGTTTGGTCATAAAAATTGTATATATACTGATTTGGACAACTTCTATCAATGAAAACTAATAATGCTCTATCAGTCTAACCAATGGTGAGTTTTGGAAACAAAAACTCGAGGTAGGATTTCTTAAACATTTTGAAAAATTATGATGAATTTAAGAGAAACGGTGAAAAATCATGAATTAGACAATTTCCCAAATTTAAAAGGTGATTGAAAATTTGGAATTGATCCGTTTATAATTAGGGTTGTAACATTGGACTGATCTAGAGCTATATCCTTGGCTCCTAGCTTAATCTAGTTAGAGTTTTCAATGATCGGCTCTTATATTGGGAAGGGTGTACCAGCCCTAAACTGATTATTAACCATCTAGACTGGAATCGGAACCAATTCATAAGACAAATCGGGTCTGACACTATTAAAAAGCGGGTGTTTGGACTGATGGTGATTCTTCTGACGAGATTTTTCATAAATCATTGATTTTTTAAAAATCATAAAAATTATTTGTTTGGCACATTGCTGTGATATTAGCCGATTTCAAATCAGGTTGTATTTGAATGTGATTATTTCCCCTATCCGCTCCATCTCATATGTCACAACATCCAAAAAAAAGAAAAAATATTGGCCTAAAAGGAGGAATCCTTGAAAATGGTGATTCATCTTTTCAGTGATTTTTCTTTTCAGCTTAATGGGTAAATGTGTTAAACTATCATTATGGTTTAGTTAATTGACTAAGTATATCCCTACTGTTTGATTATTGTCTAATACTACCCCTACTGATAATTTACTAACTTTACCCTTACCATCAGAATCCGTTAATATTCCATCACATGTAATATATTATTTTTTGAAAAACCCAATTTTACCCTTTATCCCTCTCCACCTTCTACCAATCTGCCGATGAAAACCCAGAAGCTCCAGGGAATTCTTTCACTATTCTTCTTAGACATTCTCCAAGAAGCAATGGTTCTAGGTAATTCTTTCACTTTTCTTCTCGGACTTCCGGCCACTC